GCTCTTCTCGACAGCCCGTCCGGCAGCGTAGCTTGTTTCCCAGGTCGATACACCATTTTAAACCTAAAGTTAGAAAGCTCTTCGACCCACCTGCCCTGCCTCGGGCTTAACTGCTTCGGTTCCATCCAGTATGTCAAATTCAAGTGGTCCGTGAGAACTGTAGTCTCTACCTGTAGTAGTAAGTGTCTCCTTCTCCTGAAGGCTTCAACAATAGCTAGTAACTCCTTTTCGCCTACCGTGTAGTTCAACTGCGCCGCCTGAAACGCTCCGGATGTCACGGCCGTCGAACAACTACTTCTTAATAGACCGACGGTCGACGAACCTCGGCTAACTTCACTCTCTGAGTCGATGTCTCACCCAACCAGGAGGGCGCAGACGTCGAAAGGGGTGTAACTACGGCGTACTTCGGCGTAGTTACTCTAACTAGGGTTTTGATCTACTGATGGCGATGTATCTTGATTTATAGCTATCTCTATCTGTCTTTTACTACTGACAACAATCAAGGATCGCTGAAGAACTTCAGCGATCTTCTCAGCTAATATTATCTACTCCTCCTAGACGTTCATCCAACCCTCTCGCGCTTTGACGTACTTCAACGCACTTCGTCCAACTTCCCCGAGCCCTCGGCCATCCTCTTCCTCCTTCGACTAACTCCGCCTAACATCGCCGCACTTCTGCTCCCATTGTCCCTACTTAGCCTAACTCCGCCTAACATCGCCGCACTTCTGCTCCCATTGTCCCTACTTAGCCTAACCCCGCCTAACATCGCCGTACTTCTGCTCCCATTGTCCCTACTTAGCCTAACCCCGTCTAACTTCGCCGTACTTGGTCTCAGAAGTCCTGAGTTACGTGTAGAGTAAAGAGGTTAAGGCGTGATGGGGTTTTGATGGCCAAAGGAGGGTCATTGTTGGTGGAGTAATCGAGGTGTCACGACGTAGTTCGTGACACCGGACTCGATAGCCACCGGGTGTTCTTGTCCCAACTCGTTCACCTGCGAAATTATGAAACCCCAGCCGAAGAACGACGCATCTGTTTGTAGTAGCGTCTTCAACGAGGGATCAAAGTGAGCCAATACTGGGGCCCTACACATCCTCTCCTTTAATTCCTTAAAAGCTCTTTCCTGTTCTACTCCCCAAACAAACGGTACATCCTTCCTGGTGAGATCATTGATCGGTTTAGCAATTCTGGAGAAGTTGGGAACAAAACGCCGATAATAACTGACAACTCCCATAAATCCTCTGCTCTCTCGCAAGTTCTTAGGACGAGGGAAAGACACGACAGCATCGATGTATTCCGGATTACTAGAAATCCCTTCTCGCGAAACCACGAACCCCAGGAAGACTACCGAATCTCTTTCAAACTCGCACTTACTTGCTTTTACGAACAACTTCGACCTTCGAAGCACTTCGAACACCTTCGCCGTAGTTCCTCTTAGTTCCTCCAATGTTTGACCGTAGATGAGTATATCATCTATGTAGACAACTACTCCTTTTCCCAGCAGCTCTCGAAAACTTTCATTCAAGAAGTGCTGAAACACAGCAGGAGCATTTCATAGACCGTCTCGGACAACAAGAGACTCGAACATACCGTACTGAGTCCTGAACGCTGTCAGGTGTTCGTGTCCTTCCTTTACTCGTAGGAGTTGATAAGCCCCAATCAGATCTAACTTGCTGAAATACCTCGCTTTTCCTAGCTCTTCGGTTATCTGACCGATCAGAGGCAGCGGGATAGGCGTCGGGTATCGTTGCCTCGTTTAACTTTCGGTAATCAATGACCATTCGCCATTGACCTTTTGCTTTCTTCGGTACCAAGAACATCGGTGATCCGTAGGGCGAATTACTGGGTCGAATTCTTCCGGCCGATATTTCGCGATCTAGGATGTCTCTCAGCGCACTTCTCTGATCTTCTCCAAGCGAGTAGAGTGGAGCAACCTTCAGGTTCGCCCCCTCCTTAAGATCAAACTCCAGATCATAGCCCCTCGAGGGAGGTAATTCTTCACCTCCCTTCCTTGGGTTAAAAACATCAATGAACGAGTGGTATTGTTCAGGAACCACCTGATACAATTCCTCCTGTTCCTCCGGACTCAGTTCATCCTGGTCATCTTTGTCTCGAAGATCTATCGCGTCCGTCGGAGTCGGCAGCCCTATGGCCGCTAACTTCGCCGCACTTGGTGGGGCTGGGATGGGAAATTTCACCGAGTTGTCTCTTCCATCAAGGACAACCCCTTCCTTCCTCATCCAATCCCACCCTATCACAACATCTGCGTCGCAGAGCGTTGTTACATCGAGACAAACAGATCGCACTTCGGCGTCCTTCGTCAAACTAAATCCGACTTCGACAAACTCGGTGATGGGTCCAGCGACACTCACCGAGCCGTCGAACATGTGAACGGGTACGCTCACCTGATATCGCCTCTTTTCTACACCTATCTTCGCTGCTGCCCTAGGGCTTATGTATGAACAAGTAGCTCCAGTGTCCCAGAGCGTAGTTAGCTTTATTCCATTAATGAAAATGTCCGATTTAGGTTGATCTCTGGAAACGGAAGGGATGGGGAGATGATTATCGACATTGCATGAACAAGGGGTACTGAGTGGTGTATTTCTGTATTCACAATCCTCTGGCTCCATCAGCTGTGTTTCTTTTATGGGTTTGGGAATGGTGGCCGAGAGAATATGGCGGACCCGCCGAGCCTCGCCTACTGCGACAGGTCCTCTTCTTTTCCCTGGTCCTCTTCCAAATCTACTTCTCCTCCAACCGCATTCAAGTTCCTCCTCTGTCCGAGAGGTACTGCGTTCCCTCCCGATCCTCCACCACGTTCCCCGAACTTCTCCCCCCATGGAGGCAACAGTCCAACCTTAACCTTAGCCTCCCTTACAGGACATTCCTTCAGCCAATGTCCTGTTTCACCACACTCCGTACACTTCCCCTCTTTCCTCCTTGTCTCCCTCAGGTCGGCGTTCGGCCTAGGCCATTTTCGGCGAACTTCGTCGATGTTCGGCGGCGCACTCCTTACCACCGTCGACGTCATGGTTGCTTGGACACCAACCTGCGCCGAAGGTTGTCCCCTTTCCCATTTCTTCTCTTCTTTCTTCTCCGCCCTCTGACTTTCCACCACTGTTGTTGTCTTTGTCCCTCCTTCCCTCCTCCTCTCTGCCTCCTTCTCCACTTGTCTCCTCCACAGGCGGTTGTCCAAGGGAATTACAAACTCCAATAGCTCCTTCACAGTCCCAAACGATCTGCCATGTCTTGCAATTTCATCCAGGAGGTGCGATTTTAAACCTTTCTTAGCCCGATCGACCAAGTTTCCGTCATCAGACCACTTGAGTATCGCCACATGTCGCTGAAAGGCAGAGAAGTAATCCGAAGCAGACCCGGTTTGTTTGAGATCATTGAGCTGTCGGGCTGCAGTTCCTTCTTCGTCTGGGTCGCCGAAGTTAGTCTTGAGATACTTGACGAACTGGTTGTGCGCCGTGAGGTATTCCGGGAGAGGCCTTTTCGATAGATCGGGTTGAACGGCAAGAAGGGGAGTTTCGCGTAAGTGAGAGATCATGAAAAAGACCTTTTTAGTGTCGTCGGGGAAAAGGTGAGAGTTTAACTCGAAATGTACGTCGCACTCAGACAGAAAAGCGGTTAACTTGTTCCGCTCTCCTCTCCAGAAATCCGGGTTAGGCAACTTTATCCCCTTCCTTTGTTCCCCAACTACGCTTGGAGTCGCCGAAGTTTGCCGTCCCATGGCGTACCTCACCCCTTCTGATATCCCTTCTGCAATTCCCCCCACTGTCTCCCTTTCCCTTCTTTGCTCCCACTCCTCCCTACGCCTCCTCTCCTCCATCATATCCTTGTTCATATTTGCCACCATCTGCACCAAGGCTAACATCACCTCTTGAGTCCCTCCTTCTCCGAAGTTCGTCCCACTTCCAGTGTTTTCTGGCCGTGGGGTTTGATCCGATCCCATTGGGGATCCAATAGGTGGGAGAATATCGGCCATAGGTGTAGGAGGATTAGAAGGTACTGGTGGAACGGACTCATCTCCTTGAACTGACCCCCCTACGCTATCTTCCACCCCAAGGTCCTGTCCCATCGCTCTTCTAAGCTCCTCCAATGCTCTCCTCTCATTATCCTCCATCCTGTCTTCACCCCTACTCATGCCTCGCGTAATTCTCCTTTCCGGTTCCATATTATCTTCGTACTTCTCCGAGGTTCGCACGGGTCGTCGGTAAGAGCGATCCTTGATACTGTCACGGCCGTCGAGCAACTTCTTCCTTATAGACCGACGGTCGACGAACCTCGGCTAACTTCACGCTTCTGAGTCGATGTCTCACCCAACCAGGAGGGCGCAGACGTCGAAAGGAGTGTAACTACGGCGTACTTTGGCGTAGTTACTCTAACTAAGGCTTTGTTCTATTGATGGCGATGTATCTCGATGTATAGCTATCTCTATTTGTCTTTTACTACTGACAACAATCAAGGATCGCTGAAGAAGTTCAGCGATCTGTAAACTATCTATACTACTCCTCTCTTCTCATAGAACGTCCCTCAACTCCTGCACTGCCTCACGCTCAGTCCTCTTCGTTCAACTTTGCCGTACCTCGCCGTATCCCCGATATCCTACTCCGCTCACCTCGACTAACTTCGCCTAACTTCCCCTGTTCTGCTCTCCCTCGGTTCCCTTCCCCTAACTTCGCCGTAGTTCTCCGCTAGGCGGGGTTATCGTGACAAATACCCTCTTGGTTCTCGTAACTTCGCCGTAGTTGGTCTCAGTGGTTCGAGTGGAGGTTGGTGGTGGTGAAAAGGAAGGTCGGTGATGGTGAAAGGAGGGTCGGTGATGGTGGTTGTCAGGGATGTTACGATGTAGTTCGTGACAGCTAGAAAGGGACAAGGTGGTCAATGAAGTGGAACAACTCAAAGAGGAGCACGCTCGAGAATGCATACGGTTCAAGGCGGATTATGAGGCCGTCAGAGCTCCTCAAACCGACTGGGAAACTCGATATCACCAGGCGATGTCGCAAGTAGAAAGATACCGAGGACAGACTCCGGCACTGGTCGACGAGTTGAAAGCGGAGAATGCGACGCTGGTCATCGAAATCTACAATGAAACACTTCGAGACTTACTGAACTTCAAGCGTGGGCCTCTGCGTGATGATGAGAAACCCGCAATTCACTTTTCGAAGGTTCGTCGGAGCGTAGCATTACTGTCGCTGACTGATCAGGGGAAGGTGTATGTTGAACCACTTGTTGAGCACATTGTGTCCACTCCGCAGGACGTCATAGAGCTTCAACAAGGGCAACGCGGGAAGAAAGACTAGCGCGACTGACTGGGTGAGTCGCTCGCTTACCTGCATGTCGATGATACTTGGCTGAATGTACCAGAATGAGCGATCTTCCAGGTCACATAGCGTGTTTTCCATTGTCATCGAATCTCGCCCACGAGATGGGAACGGAGATGATGACATTCGGCTTTCTAAGCTGAGCCTCATCGTGAGTACAAAGAATGCGTCAGATGGAAAGTGCTCATAGCCGTAGGATCTTGCTGGTTCGGAGAAAGCTGATGTAACCCCGAATGGTTCGGTTTCGCCTCATCGTTGAATGATGATGCATGTCAAGAAACCAAAGATCATGTGTGTAACCGTGACTGTCCTCTCCCCGGCGTAACGTGTTTCCCCCCCCATCTCACATCACCCGCATCACATCCGCTTCGTGCTCCGAATTTCAGTGACTCTGAATGAAATGGATTCTCTTCCCTTCCCTTTTTCCGTTTCTTGGCCGTAAGATCAGCCTCCATAGTTGTAACTGTTTCCAAGTCTAAGACTGTCACATGTGTTTTGAGGTGTATGTACCCTCGTAAGCTTCCCTTCCCTCAGCTCCTTTTTCGGTAATCCGAGCATCCGAGCCGACTTTCCCTCTGGCCGGAACACCTTCCACAAAGACTCAGGTGGGCTTGTGTCGTTTCAATATCATAACCACTCTCGTCCATGTTGTACATGTATGTTATATATAATTGGATGGCTTGTATTCAATATACATGTATATACTTCCTCATAATAGATCCAACTTTGGCAAAAAAAAAGGAGGCAAACTTCTCTATTGTTGTTCCATCAATACGAGCCCCGTGTCCATACGCTGCTGATAGGAAGTCGCTTTTTTTTGAATTTTGGAGATCAAGTGCTGGGATGGAGACGTGTTTGTAAGGTGGAGAAGAGATCGATTTCGGTGAAGGTGTTTTTCGATCTCAATAATTAGTTTAAGGGTTGGAGGATGATATCGATGGATTTAGTCAACAAGGGTATCTTCTTCTACGGTTGGAGATGAGCTACAGCTGACTTATGGTCAGAGGTATGGTGGGCAACACTATCAGGGAAGTCAAACTTGACAGCAAGCTATCAAAGGGAGAGGTGTTCTTCAAGAGGGAGAAGTAGCTGAGCTTTGTAGGCATCTACATCTACTGCGTGATCGATGGACTTCTGAATGAAAACCATCATGAAAGCAATCAGAATACAAAACCAAAGAAGAACATGCATTCAAAGGCTGGATGAAAAGTTTCGTTGTCCGTGAAGGGGGGGGAAGGAAACACGTTACGTCCATTCAGGAGACCGCCAACAAGATGTCTACCACACGATCGCGGCGGTCCGGCTCCGGCTCCAGCTGTTCGGTCGGGAGGACGACTTGGTCCAGGGATTCTCCGCGAGACAAACGGACGAGCCGGGAGAGGAAATCGACCGTTTGGGTAAAGGCGTATGTCATGGTGGGTTTAGGTAGGTTGGGTAGGGGGAAGACTGTCTGGGATATTAGCGATGGCGCGCGCGCGCGCACACACACACACACGCACACACTCGCTGCCTCACACAGCAGCTACAATACAGCCTTGGACAGAGAAAAGTTGCAAAGCAGCAGCAGCTTACAGCCTTGGACAGAGAAAGTTTGGAAAGGGGAGAGAGACTCAGACTCACTTGACATAGCACGGATAACTCATCGTGCGACGGACCAACGCCAACACCAACACCGTCTCCGTCCATCACGCCCAGAACCGCCCTGCATCCTGTCGCGGGGCAATAAGCAAGGACGCCTCGCCATGTTGAGGTTACCTCCTCACCCGCTGTTGGCCAGATGAGCAGATGTACTTTACTTGGACCTTGACTCTGCCCAGTCGAGTCAGCACAAACGGACTTGTATTTCAGATTCGCGTTCTCGCTGACCTCTCTCTTTCACCCTGTTTCTCGCTGACCGTGTCTATTTTGCTCTCCGTGTACTCTCCGTCCCGTCGGTTCTTACCGGAAGAGAAAGACACGAAGCAAAGACACGAAGAAAAAGACAAGAAGAAAAAACCAAGAAGAAGTGTCACAAGAAGGAATGACAAGAAGAAGTGACAAAAAGAAAAGACAAGAAGAAAAGACAAAAGCTCACCTGACCAAAACCGAGACCGAGGGAAAGACGACCCCCAGAAGCGCGTTCCAACCGACGGAGCAACACCCGGAGAAGGACCCCCCCCCAGGTGGACATCCGTCGTGTTGTTCCCCCCCTCTTCGTCGGCGCAAACGATCCGGAGCAGAGGTCCGAGTTGCGACATGAACTCCAACGACGTCTCATCCTCTGTCGCACTTCCGTCCCTTGCGTTCGAAAGCTCCGATCCGTCGACTGTGACTCTGGTTTGACCCTCCTCCAGCGGATTCGTTTTCGGTACCACACCCACCCTGATCCCGGCAGTCGGATGGATTCTCGAACGAGTGAGACGGAGCCGGAGACGGGATGAAGGAGATAGGAGAGGTGATAGTAGGTCGTTGTATAGTCTCCAGAAAGATGCCGATGAGAGTTTTCCTTTGATCTGAGATATGTGTTAACGGGAAAGGCTCTTTGTTGTTGTTCTTGTCATTCTACCGAAACGGAACGGAAACGGAAACGGGAGAGAAAGTGTGTGTTCGAGAGAGAAAGAGAAAAACCGAACTCACGTTCATAATTTTCAACCTCTCATCACATCGAGTATGAAACTCACTCAAACGACCTCGTCCATCCCATTCCTCCGTCCAACGAGAAACCAGACGGAACCTGTCCTCATGACTCGGCAGCACTCTATCACGCTGTCTGCGCTTGTTGGTTCCTGTTCCTGTTCCGGCTGGTGATCCTGTCGACGCGATCGATTCGGCCCACGCAAGCTCCGCTATCCCGCCGTCGACCCATCCGATCTCGGCGGGGAGGACACGGTCCTGCTGCACACAGCTGTGGACCCAGTCGGTGGACACGACGGTTTGCGAGGGTAGGAGACCGGGGATGACCTCGTTGGGTCGATAGAGGTCGCCTCCATAGCGGCGACCGAGTCGGCTAGATCGGCTATCTGTCCAGGATGTGGGGTAGTCGGACGATCGTCTGCGAGTACCTGAAGCCGACGTTTGAGAACCTCAATTTCCTTATCTTTCGCCTTGATGAGGGCCCTATCGGACGATAAGAGCTAAGCTGTTAACATCTATACGGCCGACCGAAAGAGTGACATACGATATTCTTCTTGGCCTGTGTCTCGACCTGAGAGCAAGTTCCGGCGAATTTGAGCGTCTCCAATGTTTCTGAGGCGTGCTCTTCTTCTGCGGACAGCCTGAGTGATTCAGTAATAATCACAACCTGACCGAGGAGCTCACGTGCAGATGACGCAAATGTTTGAATTTCCGCCTAGGGCGTTTTCAAGTAGATGCGTGAGCTTCGAATCTCGGCACGGAATATGACCGCTACGGTGTGAGCGACGTGTGATCCAGAGGGACGAAGAAACGGACCTCTTTTTGACGTTCTTGAGAGCTAGCAAGCTGCTCGTCAGCTTGACCGATCTTGCTATATTGATAAACTATTGCGCACCTTCGGTTAATATGCTTTCCCTCACCTCTATTGACAGTCGGGAAAGCCGTCACTCTTTTCTTACCTCCGGGGGGGTGATTCCCCCTCCGGCGGCGCGTGAAAAGACTGAATGACCCTCCCGGACTCACATCAAACGACGTAATCGAATTCCGAGAGGCGAGCTCCCCTCCGGGATCACTTGAAAAGACCAAATGACAACTCCGAAGGAGCGATTTCCCTCCCGGACCACATCAAAAGACTGACTCGAATTCCGAGAGGTGACTTCCCCTCCGGGACTAGGTGAAAGACCCGAACAACCCTCCGAGAGGTGAATTTCCCTCCCGGACCAAAACCAATAAGCAACGATACTTACCTCTCCTAAGCAAAGCGCAGGGTGCATGATACTTACCGCTCCAAGGGGGCTCAAAGTCAATGGGAGATTTCCCCTCCCGACATGAACATGGTATTTTCAAAGGTGTTCTTTCACTCGTCGCGACTTTCAACTACTTTCTAAACAAACGCGACATCAACATCTCAACAGGTACGTATGGTGATGTTATATAGGGGAGGGGTAACAGGTGAAAAGTGACCGATGAGTTTTTCACACATCACCATCACCATCACCGTAGAATTATCATACCCTTAGCCTTAGTATAGAAACACTCTTCAACAACAACAACTACAAGAAAAGAAGAGAGCTTTCAAGATGATACTATGAACATCTCGGTAGCCGGAAGCTAGGGGGATTCTCTGAGTCAGGCTGTCCTACTAGGAGGACGACGGAACAGATATAGAACAAGGTAGAAAGGTGAGTTCCCTTTCTCCCTTTCTCCCTTTCTCCCTTTCTCCCCTCCTCCCCTCCTCTCCTCTCTCTCTCATGCCTGTGTTTCACATCTATGTTGACATGTTCGCTAGACGTCAACGACGACGCAAACCCTCGGACCACTCCCGCTCGGTCACCATCAGACGGACAACCTCACATCCATGACGTCTGCCAAAAAATCTATGATGGTCTATCCCGTCGTATAGCCCTCCAGATCATCCAACACTCGGGAGAGACTGGAGCTGGAAAAACCCATTTGACGAATCAAGAATGTCAATTCTTCTTTCGTACCGACCTCACTGGCATGTCCTCAAAACTTGGCGATGGTATCCAACTCATAGAATGTCTCGGTAAAGCCTCCACTAGACTTAACGTCAACTCTAGTCGTTTTGCCAGAAGCGTCACCATAACTTTTGACACTTTCAACCCCTCTCAGCCTTTGCCTACCCAAGTTGAAATCGAAGTGTAAAACCTTTCTCTCCCCAGATCTTCCTCCTCCGACTCTGCTGCCCTGCCCCAACTGTGCTCTCCATCTTGGTCTCGGATCTCTACCCTCTTGGCATCGTTTTTCGACCCAAGAGACATGTCCGAAATCTCCTTCATCCTCGATAACATCCTGGACCTGTTGATCGGACAAGACCCAAGCGGAATACTCGTAGCTGGATACATGTACGAAACCCTCTTCTCATCCGTCGTTCATAAAGTCAACTCGGCCCTCATAGGAGCGGGAACGAAACTTTCCCAAACTGAAACTACTGGAAAAGTCATGCTTGTTGATAGCCCAGGATTTGAACTTGTGGATCATATGGCTCTCGATCAATTCCTCTACAACACATACGGTCAAGTCATTCACGCATCACTGCTCGACACTCTCTCCCTTCCTAAAGGTAGACATGATCAATTGCAAAAGGTTGGACCAAGATTGGTCACTGTTCTCGCTGCTTTCAGTCAAGTCACTGGAATCCCCGGTTCCGGCTTGGAGGATCTGTTCGAAGCATTATTGATAGAACTTCAAAGTGAAATCGATCCCATCGCTCATCTCGATACGTCAGACCCAGCTACGTTGACCGTGAAACATTTCGCTGCGACGGTACGTTATTCAGCTTCGGACATGTTACTCTGTAACGCCGCTATGGATCCAGAGTTTGTCGTAGATCACGTTCACAGTCTCGACCTATCTGTCTTGGCTTCATCCTTGTCCAAGGGGCAACAGGAAGATCTAGAGATTTCTCAAAGAGGACCAGCTTCATCTAGATTGAGATACCATCTCCGTCTATTGGTCAACCATCTCGTCGGTGCGGATCAAGTGATACACGTTCATTGTATCCGACCTTTTGGTCCGTCAAATCTGACAGCGGGACAAGAGGAGGAGAGAGAGTATGAGAGAGCAGCGGTGACGGACCAATTGTTGAATGGAGGATTCGAAGATATCCTCAATCTCATCAGTGAGTCGGTTCCTTCGTCGACCATTATGAGCTTAGCTGACTCGGGAAGATTTGAATCACCGTCCTGACGTACCCATGGACGTGTCACGAACCGTCGTTCCTCCCTCGCCTATGCCTGTGCCTCGAGACCGAAGGGATCGGAAGAGACTCGGACGGGTTGGATTCGATGATCCATCGTCCATAACGCCATTGCGACGACTTCCGAATGTCACCTTACTGCCCACGGTCCGGAATACCAGTCACAGTCAAGGGGCAACGCTATTGATCCGTGACGTTGCCCGTGATCTTCTGCCAAGCCTGGAGGAACAGATCGTAGGACAGGGACGAGAGATTGAATCATTGACCAAACAAGTCATCGAACAGAAACGAGAAATCGAGTCATTGACAAAACAAGTCATCCTGCTCGGCGAACACAATTCCGAGCTAGCTGATCGAAACTCTTCTCTGGTAACGAAAAACGCCGAACTGAACAGGACGGTGAAAACGACAGGAGAAACTCTCCAGACGGCTCAAGAGAAAATCAAGTCGTTGATGGAAACGACGTCCGATCTGAAAGAACAATTGTCGACATCGGAAAAGAAACGACAAGAAGTTGAATCCCAATTGGAAGTATCAAAGGCTCAACTGGTTTTATCCGATCGACATGTTGAAGAACTCAAGTCGGTCAGAGAACAATTAAAAACTAAAGATTGATAACTTGGCGTCTAACCGTGTTGAACTCAAAGATAGGTTGATTCTACAAGAACAAGGTAATTTACGACATACACTTGATTTATTGTTCTTTTGGACGAGGGAAAACGACGAAAACGAAACGGACATGTCTAATCTTGATTCTCTCGCAGTCGACTTAGATCATACGTTCGCAATGTTCAGTTACGATCTGGAAGCCAAGGTTGACCAATTGGCTATGACAATCAAGACCATCTCGGAGAAAGGACATGTGAGACATCAGGTCATGCCCCTTATCGGGGTGTTTGAACGTTGGACGAAGCTCGAGATAGAGCGTGAGCGCGAGAGCCAGCTTCAGCCGGAGAACACGTCGACGGCAGGGGACACTCTCACTCTTCGAGTCAGGTTGGAGAGGATGGTGAGTGAGGCCAGGGGAAAGATCCGGATCCGGATCCCGGTGGAATTGAAAGAATCGACGGACAGGTGGAAGTCGTCGGGTTTGTTGACGGAGAACAAAGTCGGGTCCATGTTGAGATACCTTTTGGAAGGCGGGATGATGCTCTCTGATCGGAAGGCTCTGCTGAGGGATCCGTTGCGTGAGTTCGTCAGGGGGTCAGAGAGGGATGGTTTGGCGTCGGGTTTGGATAGGGTTAGGATGAAAGAGATGATGGGTGAGTCTGTCGTTGGTCATCTCTCTCCCGTCTTTTGTCTCTCCCGTTTTGTCTCTCCCGTCTTTTGTCTCTTCGGACCCCGTGTCAGTAAGGAAGAGGTTGTGGGTTGGATTGCTGATGAGATTAGAAGACTTGGGAGAAGCAACAAGCTGGTTCCGCGGGCAGTGGGGCATGTGACCGTAGAAATTGCCCATGGGTCATGATCTCTCTCTCTCTCTCTATCTCTTACATTTGTCAATTATCATGATTAGCTATACCATGTCATTTCCGGCCAATTGTTCATGCATTCTCCATACTATCAATGTCCACGACGATGATATGAGCCATGGGGATGTCTAGAAGAGCCCAGTACTATCAATGTCCACGACGATAATGAGCCATAGGGATGTCTAAAAGAGCCCAGGGACGGATAGCGAGGACAGAGGAGGGAGAGAAGGTGCAAGATAGGTACCTCTCCTGAGGAGGATCAATGTCGAAAAATGGTGGGATACCTGTTCATTAGAGACCCGCCAGTGGGATACAGCCGAAAATGCCCGTATGAGAGACTCACATTCGGTTGATATCGGTGTCTCCTGAACCCATCAGCTTGCTATCCTGCAATCAAAAGTAAGAGTGTAAGAGAAGAATCAAAATAACGAAAGCTTTCGAGATCGTCAGGCCGATATAGACAGAGACAGAGTGGTAGAGCCAGAGACAAAGCAATATAGCCAGGAATGACAGGAATGACTGCAGGACGGAGAGGGGAGCAGGAGGCAAGGAGAAATGTCAAGTAAGAGAGTAAAAGACAGTGAAGATGGTGAAGATTTTTCGAGATCGTGAGCCCAATACACACAGAGACAGAGTGGTAGAGCCAGAGACAGAGCAATATAGCCAAGAATGACTGCTGGACAGAGGAGGGGGAGAAAGAGGGAAGGATAAAACGTCATTGTCATATGAGAGACCCACCGAATAACCCGTCCTCGCCATCCTGTCCTCTCCTCTGTCCTCATCATTACAGGCCGATTTTCCTCATCATTACAAGCCGAATTCTGAGTCTCCTTAGCCTTTTCCCTTCCCCTTTCCTCTCCGTCCTTGTTCGTATTGGTAGCCAAATCCAGGTCAAGAAACTATCTCCTGAATAGTTGAGAGTCTGCTTCTCCGGAGCAGCATTCGTCCCCATTACTGACTGGTTTCACCAGCCTTCCGAGCGGTCATTTCGCGACACTGAGTTATATACAAGGGGACCGTGAAAACCGATAGGATTGGTGATGACATCTAACTCGTCAGGATGAAAACTTTTTCAGGTGAAAACGGGTACTCACTCGAATCCCCGGACCAGCAGAATATATGTCGACAAGCCGGGAGCCCGGGGGATAGTGTTGTTGGAGAGTCAAAAAAGGTTTTGGCTGGCGAGATCGAGGATGATGATGGATTCTGTCGAAGTCAGTCAGATTTTTACATTTCTCGATAGAAAGAGTACTCACAGACTTATACAGGCCAGGAGAACAACGTCGAGAAGTTTGAAGAGACTGAAGAGGTGTTGTTAAAGGGTGATAGAAATTCTTGCTGCAGGAACGTTTGGTGACGAGGTAAATGACAACAAGGGGACCTATCCAAATCAGAATTTCACTTCTGATCATAAAACAAGTAACTACTCACAGACTCGCAAAGACAAGTAAGACCAAATGCATCCGTTCCTCTATTTCACACTTGCTGGGGTGCCGACAACCTGTAGACGTCATTGTGCTCAAAAGCCAATTTGATTTCATCAATCTGACATTGTAATTTCCAATCTCCCAACTCGTCGTCCACTGAAACGAAATAAGCACTGGCCCAGTCGATCAATCTGATTCGATAAGGTAGACAATGTCGATATTTCGCTTCGACCCTGATCCAGTTGCGGGGATGGGCGTCTCCGTGTATTATGCGACGTCTGGAAAGGAGTGTGTAGTGTGATATTATTTCTTCTCTGTCCGGTCAGCGTGTGTTGGCGCGGGATGAGTGAGAGTTGACAGTGGTTTAGTATTTCAACGACTTGAGAGAATGGGTCGTTAAGTCTCGAAGGACTCGGGTCAATCAAAGGAAACGTGCACACAGAGGTCGCAGGTGTATCAAGTATGAAGAACGACGGATGGATGCAAAACGGTCAGAAGTGAGAGAGAAAGAGAGAGAGAGACAAACTCACTTTTCCTCTGGTAACGGTTGATCCAAATCGGTAGTACATGTTCGACCACCCCCATCTTCCATGATTATCGCCAAATGATCCAACTGCGCTTCATCTCCACCCTCTTTAATGGTCGTTGAAGAAAACCCTTTGTAAGATCCGGTGGCTTTACAGATGAAACCTAGTTCTGGAAATAGTCGAACCGTGTTTAAGAATTTCATTTCTGCACGCCAGGCTTTCAAAGCTTCGTCGACGAACAACGGGTGTTCATCTTTGAGGTCACATAGCTTGATGATCCTCTCCTTCAAACAAATGGTGAATTTGACATTTTCGTGAGGGTAGACTTGTTCGGGGTATTTGATTTGATAAGCTGTCCATATCCTACCTTGACCGCGTCTCGTGCAAAGTCGGAGGCGGGGCAACGCCGAAGGGCAGGGTTTGTTCCAGTTTGCTGCGTCGGATCCGGCAGAGAAGAGATCGGTGAAGAAGACTATGGGTCGATCAGGACATGTTGGGATTGAAACGATGAACGAGAATGACGGGGGGATTTTGGTCAAGGTGTTTTGTTGTGGAGGGATTTGGATTGAGGGTGTCGTCTTGTTTCGAGTAGGGGAAACCGACTGTTCATCAAACTGATGACAATCAGCGACGACCGTTTTCATCTCAAGCCGGAGAGGAGAGCGAGGGGGAGAAGGAACACGACATGACATGGGGCCGAGTGCATTTTCTGGTCCCAGATTAGATATCATCACAGTGATTGACCATGATGGACAGGTGAAAGAGGGGCGAAAGAGCAAACAGGATACAGAACACGAACGATAGAAACTCACCGAACGTTCACCAAAAGACATGTCAGAACCCTCTTCATCGTGTAGGAGAATTTCTACAGGCTCGGTCATGACAACACGATCAGACTGTCACATCAGTGTCTAGATCGCATTATTCGGCCAGTACAGTCAGTCTCGAGAGGGGAAAAAGAAAGAGCGACAGAGGACAGAAGAATTAGGTCTCCAATCTTTCACACTGTAAAGGAAAAGAAGTGGGGACGAGCAAGAGCGTCACTCACCTTGTGAGTTTTTGGCGAAGGAGTGTCCGTCGTCATCGTCGACGGTGAAGAAGTGGCGGAAGGTGTCCTCGGACGATTATCATCTTGGGATACTACCGATGACGGTCTGGACAAGAAACGTCCAGAACCGTACGGATGATGATGAGATTGTCCTTGTGAGGGGGCAGAAGTATCGTCGTGGTGGTGGTGAGAGGTTTGTGAATCTTGACGGAGGTGATATGTGTCTCCAGCCGGGTGACTCATACGTGTCCACGGAATGGTCGGAAGGTTTAGAAGACCAGAGTTGGCAAAGATTGAATCTAGTCCTACTGCGAGTGAGAGTGAGAAAGGTTTGAGGGTTAAAAGACGTCTGCCGTTACGATCTTCGGTCGATGTACCAGCTGGAGCGCTCCACCAACCTCCGGTCCTTTTGATAGGTCTGGAAACACCAAGCCTAGCTCGTTGATCATCCCAATGGAATAGAATGTAAACGTTGTAATTGGATAAGATGGCATAACGAGATCGATGAGTCAATATGGCACCCAGAATCTGAAAGATCAGTGTAAGAACTGGTCGTTACTTGTATCCCGACTTACCTGTAAGAGGAGATGTCTCTCCTTGTCCATTCCAGGTAACGGACCCCTTTGAGGATCGTTGAAAACGGGTTGTTGACCATCTAGACTGATGCTGATACTGATCCCATCATGAGCTAGAACATGCAAGGCGTTCATCGTTTCATCCGGAGCGCTGACAGGTGTCTTGAGTTGAAAGAGAGGAATATCGTTTACTAACTCTTTCCTGAAATCCGTCCTCCTTCCTGACCTTGGCCCAGACGTTGGATCCATGACACTGCTGTTGGTGGTGAACCAGAGAGAGCTCGGTGGGAGTCTCAAAGCCTCTTCCACAGCGTTGATGGACAAGAACAAGGAAGACCAGAGGAGATGGGATAGACCGGATTCGCCGTGGACGGGAGTGGCCGAGACGGCAACGTCATGGAGATGCTGAAGGTGAGGAAGACAGTCGGGTGGGTGTTGAGGGAACAAGTCGAGTGATATGACATGTCGAAGAAAGTCACTGAGGAGGTGAACGTGGTCGTCGTCAGCCACCAGCTGAACAAATCCGACATGGTGAGAGGACAACCTGGAGACTGAAGTAGAGGGACGTTCGGAGCAAGTGGAAGATGAAAAGTGGACGTTGCCGAGGGGAGAAGGCTCGAAAGCTGTCTCTAACCAACGTGTCACGACGGCGACGGCGACGGCGACGGACGAGAGGGGCACAGTGACGGGCATGGTCGTGGTGGTGACGGTGGGGATGGGGATGGTGGTGACGGTACGTACGAATTTATCATGTGTTTCTTGCCGCCCGCAGTTCTCTTGTCAACTTTTAAACCTCCTTGACCAACTTATTCCGTGCCCATCACCTCTTTCCTCCCATCATCCCTCGACAATTGGGCTTTCCTACTCTGCGACAATACCAACAGCTGTTACATTGACCGCCTTCTGTCCAGCTTATGGCCAGGGTGAGTGCCAGATGTTAGCGGTGATTCCAACTTGGCTGACGACAGACTCATCTCCTAGCGCAATTTGGAAAGAAGCGGGTCGGGGACATGAGAAGGGAATTGCTCGTGGCTGGGAGTCTTGCAGAATTGATAAATCGTATCTCTGTTGGCGTGGATCGTCCTTCCGGGAATGTCGCCAGCCCATCGGAACGCTCATCATGGTTTGGGCAGGCGAAATGGAAAGGGGAAGCTGCTCAGGATCGGGATTGTCTCTCGATGTAATGAGGATGGTCGAGTTGGAGGGAAATGCAAAATGAGAAATGAGAAATGGCAGGAGACGATAAGAGGTGGCGAGGCGGGGAGGGAAAGGGCGAGAAAGCGAGAATAAAGTCAAGAGTTTTCGGGTCAGTGATACTATGTATTTTGCGTGTAAACAGTGAGCTGAAAATGAGACATTCCTTTCGAAACGAGATACATGTTGCAAAACGGGATACGGGAAACGGGATTTTCTTCTTCTTCTTCTTCTTCCTTGGCAATGGCGGCAGACGAGAAGACTAGGCCGAGGTGTTGAAAGATTGTAGGGGAGGGGGAGGAGAAACGCATGTCGTGAGACGTAAAGATCTAAGACAAATGGTTTCAACTCACTCACTCGACTTGACTTGCACATACAGAGCATAGATCGGAACCTCTGGATGCAGGAAGAGGAGAGGGGAGAATCACCCACTACGATGGGTCGCAAGAGTCTTCTGGAGATGTTTCAGAGGAAAAGTGATGAAGCAGAGGAACGAAATAGTAAATGACCGGTGAGAAGGAGAACAAGCGAGGTGAGTCATATCGGATCGATAAATTAAAAGCTTTCAGTCGGATAGGCTGGTGTGAAACATAGTTTTCTTTTCTTTCTCTTGTATCGTTTCATGGTATACCACGGTGACGAGGTGTAAGGCTCAAGCGATAGAGTTCAGACTTTCGAGTTTCTTGGTCATACGTTATACTTGTTGTTGTTGTTGTTTTCTTCTTTGTGACTCATCAATGGATCCAAGTTGTATGTGTCGTCCCCTTGAGCCGATCTTCATCTTTGGTGTGAACATGAGTTGGAAGAATTGGCAGAACGAGTTGACGGTCGATGATTTGGCATGGTTTCCCTATCCGGACCTTCTTTGGCAGAAACGAAAAAAAGAAAGGGAATGAATAGAAAAAAAAGTCACGTCAGTGTCAGCAATTTGATGGGTTCGGTTTTCTCTTTGATCAATGAAACGGTGAAGTGACGACATGAGGTGAAAAAAAATCATCTAATATGAAGACGGGTGGGTTGTTTTTTTTTTGTCTTGTGCATCTCAGTTCTTTTAGAGAATACGTACAGTGGGATGCATGAAGGATCGATTTTGCTTTCGACGCATAATCTCTCCGAGAACTGAAATGGACATTCACATGGTCGTGTCATTGTCGGAAAGATTCCCTGGGTTAATCTTTTACGTCTCGAGCATGGCAAAGGCTGGGTGGAAAATTGGCAAGATTGTAGGTTTTGGTGAGGTATGAAAATGAAAACTAAGAGTAGAGTATATAGAGAAGATAAACACCACCTAGAATGGGATCCGTCCATCTTCAGTCTCTTATAAAACATCCTCATGTCCTATCAAAAATAACCACAACCATTCTTTCTTCTCATCCACGCTCATGGTTTCAAGACCTTGACGATCATACCATTTCATCCAGATGTCAACTTCTTCGACGGACAGATCGAGGATGTTTTGTTGGGAAGAGAGAGTTCGGGCGCCCTGGAGTCGTCAGTCATGGAGGATGATTCTTTGTGTGAAAGCGTATCGCGTCGGGGGTCGAGATGTTTATGTAAATGTGAATGTGCAACGGAGATGGGATGATGCATTAGAATGGCAAGTGGGTCCAAAACAAAAACAAAACGGAGAAAGAAAAAGAAAAAGTCCAGATGGCAAGTGGGTAAAGTAACAAAGGAAAAATTGAAATTGGAAAATGAAAATAGAGAATTGATTGGGTAAGTGGATTGGATATATGTGATAGAGAAGGGACGAGACGGAGTACTAGTGACAGAGAAGCAACGAGACGGACTACATGTGATAGAGAAGTAACAAGACGGAATCCATGCGAGATAGAGAAGCAAGAGACGGGAAAGAAAGAAGAGAGAAGAAAAAAAAAATCAAAACTGACCCGTCTGGTCAAAACTGGATATTTGGCTTTTGGATCCAATTGGCTAGGGACAGCTACGAGATCTTTTTCGGATGCGCGACGACGTTTGTTTGCTCGCTGTAAGTGAATCAGCATGTAGGACAACTCTATGTTTGGGACGGTCTATAAATGGGTTTATTTTTTATCCATAATCGCGTCTCGTGTTGGACCGGTCTATAACTGGGGTTTTTTTTTTGTATCCACAATCGCGTCTCGTGGAGCATTTCAAACGGATGCTCTCACTGTGTAAAAGGTTCGATTCGTATTGTGAGGTATGGATAAACTGAACGATTCAAGGGGAAAGGAGATCAAACGGATCAACCGAAACGATTCAAGGGGAAGGAGATTAAACGGATCAACCAATACGATTCAAGGGAAGGGAAATGAAAATTATTGGGAAGAAGGAAAAGAGAAAAGCACTTGCAGAGGAAAAGAATATTTTATCAAGAGAGGATGAAAAACAATACAAGAAAGATAGATTGTAAACTGACCTGAGCAACCTGTTGTCTCTGTAACACTTGGATATCTTGTACTTGATCCGCCACAGTATCCAACTTGCTTGACAAGGTATCGACCTTTTTCGACACGGTGTCTATTCGTTTGATCAAGTTGTCATTGATTTGACGCATTTCAACCCTCAAAGTTGACACTTTGTTATCCACCAAAGTGGTCATACGTGTCATCTTGTCATCCAACAAGGCTGTGATGCGTTCCATCAACGCGTCTTCACGGATCGTTGGGCGTTCTTCACGCACTGCTAGTCAACGATGAACGTACGAGGTGACAGAAGAGTAGGAGGACTGACTGTTGACAGATATCATATCGGCAGCAAAGGTAGCTGCGGCCTGTACGACTTGATCATCTGTATGATGTCGGTCTATCAAAAGGTCGGATAAGAGAGAGAGAGAGTCTGATACAGTCTTGGCGGTTACCGGTACGTTTGTAGGAGGGTCGATGTAGGTACCGAAACCTTCTTTGAACGGGCGATACGTTAGGAGACGTGCAGGGATCGCGGTGGTCATTGTGTGGGGGGTGATGTCTAGTTGTGTTATACAGTTCTATAGTGTGATGGGTGTATGTTATATAGGGGGTATTGTCGTATAAGGGGGTAGATGATTGGACGGGAGATGAGATGTTTTTACTGTACAAAGTATAGTGCTGCCACACTGCGGCGTTATCGAGATAACTCCGGACGTCCAAACATCTACCCCATCAACACATCCTTTATTTATTTTCATACCAGGATAATGCATATCTCTATAAAACACCTTCCGAGTACCATGTTGCCAGATCTGGCAGAAGCAGAGCAAGGGGAGATTGTGTGGAAACACAAAGCTGGACAATCATATCGAGATATTGGCAAAGCATGATTTCATCAGCAAGTCTACCGTCTTTCTCCTGTACCCTTACCCTTATTCAATTTGCAGAGACCAGAACCCATTCTCCAAGACCTGGGAGTGGGGGACAGCCAAAAGTCACTCTTGAAACAGAACAACAGATCTTGGGTGACATTACCAACAATCCCAATCAGCTCTGGGCAGTGTACAGTTCAAACATCAACAGAGAAGGAACCAATGTCAGTGGGCAAACCGTCAAGTGCGTAGCCTAGGAGGAAGGATATCATCAATGTATCAAACGAGAAAAGCCATGGCTCCCACCCCATGTAATAGAAGGTCAAAAGCAATTGGTCAAGATAATGAAGGACTGGTTTGGACTGAGGAAATGTGTGTCACAAGGTTGTTCCTTCGTTAACTTGCTAGGACTGACGGCCAATAACTTCGTGGGCTTCGACCTTTAACTACCTTGTTGTTTGAAATATGAAATAGGTGACAATAACTTCTGGGTGTAATAACTTCGTACTTTACTAACTTCTATCACTAAGACAACAACCAGAGATCGTCAAAGATCTCTGGGAACTTCGGCCCTTAAGTACTCCGTCCTTCCCTAACTTCTTCAATGCAGAACTTCGTTCAACCCGAAGTCCCGAGCTTCGTACCTCGCGAACTTCGTCGGGGACGAAGTTCGTGCCTCCCTAACTTCATATCTCCCTAACTTCGCATCTCCCTAACTTTGTATCTCCCTAACTTCCTACATGACTAACTTCGCCCTCGACGAAGTTAGCCTCCTAATACCCTTGTGGGTGATGAAGTTCATGAGAACTGGATCGTTGATGGCGAACTGATGTCCAACGGAACCTCGTTGATGGGGAAGGATGATGTCACGCGGTGCCGCGTGACAGTCGCCCCCTCCTTGAGCGTGAACGTCCCCGTGAGCAAACATCAACGCCGAAAAGAACAAAACAACTCAGCATGAAGTTTGGGTCTCACTCTTCTCCTGAAAGCCAACTTCCTGATAATGTAATTCCCGTAATGAAATTCCAGGAAAATATGAAACCTCCTTCGGCTACGCCGCCGTCCTCACAACAAGATCGCCATGTACCGAACATCGTAACTTGCCTCCTGGACATTGAAAAATCGTGGGGGAAATTCGTCGCAGTATCCATGAATCTTAGTACGAAACTCATTAGCCTGAATTTTTTTTTCTCGTATGCAGGGATCTTCGTGGTATCCTGGTCTCCATGAAACACAACGTTGACGACGGAAACGCCCTTATCTGTTGTCAACAGCAACGGATTTCCCTTTATACTCTGTGAGTTGACGACGCGGTACACGATGTGCATTGTGTACATCAGGTGTCTGTTCCTTCCTCCCCCCTTCCCCTGCTAAACAGAGGAAGGTCTCGACAACTTCCCGCTCTTCGCCCGTCGCCCACCGCTGCTCGTCGTTCGGTGTTCGCGACCGAATCTCCTTCGTCGTCGGACAAACTTCCCGGCCTTCCTCCTCTTCTCCCTCCTTCAGTCACCACCCGGCCAGCTCGCCCTCCCGCTCCTTTGTGGGAGCTATCACCCTCTCCCCCTCCTCGTGTCCCTGGTGCTGCTCGTGCCCCTCCCGTCGTCGACCTCCGTTCTCCGTCGCCAGTCGTTCCCGGAGCTTTCGTCGTTCCTGACTCCATTCCAGATGTAATCTCTAAGCACTAGTTCTTAACGTCTTCGCAACTCCAGGATGACCGGCTAATATCGAATCATGTCTGAATTTTAGAATCTTTACTCGCATCTCCTCGATATTTGGCACATATACTCGTCCATCAAACCGTAGGAAACCTCTTACCGACCACGACGGATTCACAAACATCCCATGTCGTGATCGTCGCCAAAATTCTTCAACTTGCCTTGGCTCCTGACGTTCAGCTCTACATTCGGGGTGAGAACACTCAACGCAGATGACTGCTAACATTCCCTCCCGAACTTCGTTTACTTCTTCATCAACTTTGTATCCTTTAACAATGTCCTCACCTTCAATCCGATCTTCCTCCCTAACTTCCTTTGTTCCTTGTAAGGCCCGGAGCATGTGTCTTAGGCTTGATTTAGTAACATCTTCCGAGTCGAACTTCGGCAACCCTTGGACGAAATTCTCCTTGTCATGAATGAAGCCATCACGTGTTCCTTGTTGCGCAAAACAAGTTCAACCTCCACTTTCGTGTTTTGATATTTCACCTCTGCTCTCATGCCTATCAGGCATAAACTCCAAATATCATTTTAGTATGTCGGTGCTTAGCTCCCATGCCTGCAAGGCATAAGTCCCCAGTAATTCCCTAGTCTCTAGTCCCTCTGTTCTAATGCCTGCTAAGGCATAATCTCTCAGTCTCTTGTTCTCGCAGCACTTCTATGTTCTGCATAGTTCCTCATCGACCACCTTCGACAAAGTCGAGCGACTTCCGGCGCATCCCGTAGGATGTCATAGTAGGACGTAGGTAAACGCAGATATGGCATCGTAGGATATCAGTGGTTATCGGTGGGATGCAAGGCAATGCATGCAGGACAGTGCAGGACGGTTCAGAGCGCTCGTATTCCGCAGGTCTGCACGAGCCTCTTGGAAAAGGCTGATTTGTCTATATAAACCCTATCTTGTACTTTGTAGTCTTCTTTAGTTCTTGATCAAAAGTCATTTCCATTGCCACCCTTTTGGAGTCCAGTCCAGTCCAGTCCAGTCCAGTTCCCTCTAACCTTGTAAGACAAGCCAGAGACATTCCTTGGGTCACAGTCCCATTCCTTGTTGGACTCAGTCTTGTTAACTTAAGTATATTCCTTGTCACTCCTAGTCCTTGTCCCCTTGTCCTTTGTCCTCTATCCCAGGGTGGGCAGTATCCTTGACACTCCTCCTGTTCGGTCGTTACTCCCTTTATCCCAGGATGATAGTCCGGTCGTTGTGACAAGGCATCTGGCAGCGTTGCTTGCTTCCCGGGACGGTAAACCATCGTAAATCTGAAATTAGCCAGTTCTTCTACCCACCTACCTTGCCTAGGATTCAATTGTTTCGGGGCCATCCAATATGTCAGATTAAGATGATCTGTCAAGACCTTCGTTTCTACCTGTAGTAATAAGTGTCTCTTCCTCCTGAAACCTTCGACTATCGCTAACAACTCTTTTTCCCCCGTAGTATAATTCAACTCAGCACCCTTAAATCAAAAGCTCCCGATTCTATAGCCACAGGGTGTTCCCTACCTTCTTTATCAACCTGTGAGATAATATATCCCCATCCAAAGAACGAGGCATCTGCCTGCATGATCATTTTCAAAGAGGTGTCGAAATGAGCTAGCACTGGAGCTTCACATAACTTCTTCTTCAGCACTCTGAACGCCTCCTCTTGCTCAGTTCCCCATGTGAAGCTTACATCCTTGCGAGTAAGGTTGTTCAGAGGCTTCGCAAGTTTTGAGAAGTTCGGGACGAAACGTCAATAGTAGCTAACCATTCCCATGAATCCTCGGGATTCTCGTAGATTCTTAGGCCGAGGAAAATCCTGTACAGCAGCAACATATTCTGGGTTTGCCGAAATGCCTGATTTTGAAACCACGTACCCAAGAAAAACCACCGAAGTTCATTCGAACTCACACTTAGCCGCCTTCACAAACAATTTAGCTTCCCTAAGTCTTTGAAATACCTTTATCGTACATCTCCTAAGTTCCTCCTTAGTCTTAGCATAAATCAGAATGTCGTCGATGTACACTATGACTCCCTCCCCTAGTAAATCCCTGAAGATGTCGTTCAGGAAATGCTGGAACACAGCAGGCACATTTTGTAGCCCATCTCTAACTACTAATGATTCATACATTCCGTATTGTGTACGAAATGCTGTCAGGTATTCATACCCTTCAGCGATTCGTAGCAATTGATATGCCCCCATCAAGTCGAGTTTCGTAGAATAGTTTGCTGTACCTAATTCCTCAGTAATTTGACTGATCAATGGAAGGGGGTAATTGTCTGGAATGGTAACTTCGTTTAACTTCCTATACTCCGTCACCATTCGCCACTGTCCTTTTACCTTTTTGGGAACCATGAACATAGGTGACCCATAAGGCGAGTTACTCTTTTGAATTCTACCAGCCGCTACCTCCTTCTCCAGAATCTCCCTTAAAGCTTTTCTCTGATCTTCAGCTAACGAGTACAGTGGGGCCACCTTTAACTTCGCCCCCTCCACTAGGTCCAGTCTCAAATCGTAACTTCGGTTTGGAGGTAACGTCTCTCCTCCTACCTTAGGATTAAAGATATCCAAGAAACCATGGTACTCGAAAGGTACCAACTCCAGCAGCTCTTCTTGTTCTTCCTCACTAAGTTCGTCTTCCAACGCCAAGTCTCTAGGCCCTAAAACCTCCCCTTCCTTGAACCCAAAAACTGCTCCTAGCTTCTCCCCCTCTCTTTTCTGTCTACCCGGTATCTTTATTACCTCCTCCCTAACAACCAGGACCACTCCTTCCTTCTTCATCCATTACCATCCTATCACCACATCTGCGTCGCACAACTTCGTGACATCCAACCGAATCATACGAACTTCGTCCTCAACTGACACACGGATCCCTGTTTCAACAAATTTCGTGATGGGGCCACCGATACTTTCTGAACCATCGAACATACGTACAGGTACTTCCTCTGGGTATCTTATAACTTCCAATCCTAACTCCTCCACTGTTTTTGGGTTTATATATGAACTAGTCGCTCCTGAATCCCATAAGGCGACCATCTGGGCCCCTTTGACGTTGATTTTTGTTTTCGGTTGTCTCGCATTAGTGATGGGTATCATGATGAAATGTCCGTCTTCGTATACACATGGTTCTGCTACTGTCAGCTCTTTCCTGTTAATATCAGAAGGAACAATAGCAGAGAGGACAGAGAAATGGACCCGCCGACGTTCTCTCAAACCGACGGGTCCAGGCCTTTTCCCCCATCCACATCCTCTCCTGCTACCGCATTCATCTGCCTCGGCTCCCCCACCGCTACTGCATTCCCTCCTGTTTCCCTATTCCTTGAGCTCTTCCACATCTCCGGAGGATTCATCTTTCCTTGAGCTACCTTAGCCGCTACTAAAGGACAATCCTTCACATAGTGTCCCGGGCCTCCACACTCCAAGCACGCTCGTTCGGCCCTCCATTTTTCTCTCTGTTCAAAACTTGGCCTAGGGGTAAGAGGATCCCCTTGTTTCCAAACCTGTGATCCTGTCATTAAGTTACTCCGGCTTGGGGGAGGAATTGGCACTGAGCCCACAGGATTCTTCACGAGTGTCGTCAATAACTTCGCCGTTGGTTGTACGAAGTTAGGTGTTCTTCCCCAGTTTGTTTCCTGCCCATTAGCATGTTTCTCCACCCAACGCTCAGTCATTCTATTGTCCAATTTGATCACCACTGCTTTCAGTTCCTCCATCGTCCCAGTCTCCTCTCTCCGAGAAAGCTCGTCCACCATAACTTCGTCCAATCCGTTAATAGCCTGAGCCACTGACATCTCCTCCTCACTCCACCCCAATATAGCAATATACTTTTGGAATTCAGCGAAGTACGCCAATGCCTTCCCTTGCTTCTGTTTCAATTCTCTCAACCCCCAAATAGCCCTACCCCTCTCATCTGGGTCACCGAAGTTCTTTTTCACTCACACCGCGGACTCAGAACGTCTTGAGAGGAAAGGAGGAAGAGGAATAGAAAGTAGATGAGGCTGCACTGCCAGCAGTGCAACCCCTCTTAAGAACCCTACCATCCACAACACACTCTGCTCCTCACTCTCAAACCTATCCTTCATCACACTCAACGCCAACGAACACTGGGTCAAGAACCCAGTGAGTTTCTCTTTTGACCCATCAAATTCGTCCGGGTCTTTTGGTTTCGGCACTCGAGTTGACAAAGTTGTCGCAGACCCTTCTCTAGTTCCCCACTGTCCTCGACGAAGTTCTTGTACTATCTCTGTCAGAGCTTCACTCTTCTGGTTGTCAGCAGCCTTCAACTCCTTCAGAGCTCTCATCATTTCCACCAACATCCCATCTCTAATATCTTCCTTAAATCTCTCTGGCGAGTTCCCTCCCCTACGTATCGATGTATACAAACTTCTTCCACCAGTTGACCCCCCATCTTCTTCCTCTAATCTTCTCCCTTGATGTCACGAGACATACTGACCAGCATATGCACGATATAACAGTGCCCAACGGAACAGTGATCTTAACCACTGCGACAAAAAGGCCTATTAATCGGCGGTTAACCCTACCGCCAATCGCTGGTTAAATACCCTTCCCTGACATTCGCTCGACTTGTCACACGCTTTGTGACATTATGTACCCTCTTGGGCCCCCGCGTTGGGGCCCCAACAAGGGGACCCCGCTTGGGTCCCCACACTTGGGAAGGGTACAATAGACCAAAAACTTACTCTGAGAGGGAGGTTTTCCAAGTAGGGGCTGAATTACCCCCGGCGCCGTCCAGGAGTCGAACCCAGGACCCTACCCGTAACCGCTGATTAATCTGTCACGAGACATACTGACCAGCATATGCACGATATAGCAGTGCCCAACGGAACAGTGATCTTAACCTGATTCGGGAGGAGAATGCTGAGCACAAGGTAACGACCTTGCGCTAAAACAAGCCTACTATAAGGACTATAGCATCAATGACTTGCACAGACTCATACAAGGGGAACCGGAGTACCCGGAGAAAACCCCTTGTTGGGCATGGGAATTGAACCCATGACCACATTACACTGATAGTTCCCCTTCCACCATCAATGACTAGCCAGTTTAACCACTTAGCCGACCACTGCGACAAATGTCACACGCTTTGTGACACTTGATCACCCTCCTCAACCCATGGATCTCCCAAGTATGTGTCAGAAGGTGGCTGGGAGAGAAAAGACGAATCCCTAGAACCGCGAGGTTCTAGGTTACCTTGATTATCTCCCTGTTTGTTCCTCGACATTGCTTCAGCCGTTCTTCTCTGTCTCTCTTTTCCTCTAGTCCACATATATCTTCCCACAAGTTACTGGAGAGTCGGTAAGGACGATCTCTGGTACTGTCACAAGGTTGTTCCTTTGTTAACTTGCTAGGACCGACGGCCAATAACTTTGTGGGCTTCGACCTTTATCTACCTCGTTGTTTGAAATATGCAATAGGTGACAATAACTTCTGGGTGTAATAACTTCGTACTTTACTAACTTCTATCACTAAGACAACAACCAGAGATCGTCAAAGATCTCTGGGAACTTCGGCCCTTAAGTACTCCGTCCTTCCATAACTTCTTCAATGCAGAACTTCGTTCAACCCGAAGTCCCGAGCTTCATACCTCGCGAACTTCGTCGGGGACGAAGTTCGTGCCTCCCTAACTTCATATCTCCCTAACTTCGCAACTCCCTAACTTTGTATCTCCCTAACTTTGTATCTCCCTAACTTCCTACATGACTAACTTTGCCCTCGATGAAGTTAGCCTCCTAATACCCTCGTGGGTGATGAAGTTCATGAGAACTGGATCGTTGATGGCGAACTGATGTCCAAAGGAACCTCGTTGATGGGGAAGGATGATGTCACGCGGCACCGCGTGACAATGTGGAAGGAAGAGTGCACAGTGGAGAGTGAGACACCTCATGGTAGACATTGGACAATCCGTGGACGGCCTCTTGGCGCACCACCCTTTTCCCCTCTGCGCACCACCCTGCCACAACACGTGGTCAGGTACACATAGGCCCCGGCGTTACTGAAACGCCGGGGGACGCGACCATCCTGACGAACATTGACTCGCCACTGATCGGCATTTCAGTAACGCCGGCCGACACGACAACGCGACATGTCTGCTCGCTACCTACCAACCTGTCCTCACCACCACTAATCTTTTTATCGTCATTATACTAGTAAACTTACGCTCTTTTTCACACACACAGTCTCTACTCGTCTCAAGGATCATTTTGATACTCTTCTCACTCTTTTACGACTACTTTTCACCTACTTCTGGCCCTTCGCCTTCTCAACCTGCGCCCTCCTGACTACCACCCATCAAATTGCTATAACTTCTTACAGAGCCATCGTGGTAATCTCTCGTCTTCTCGACACTGTTCTACTGCTCTCTGCGAGTCCGTGAGTACTTGTTTCATCATCAGAAGTCAAAATCTGACTTCAATAGGCCCTCTCGCCATCATCATTTTCGCCACCGAACCCCTCTCGAGAAACTTTTTTTTACTCTTCAACAACACATCTTCAGCCTTGGAGAATAACTCGACACTGTCCTCCTGTTCTTCCTGAGCTGTGAGTACTGGTTTTATCATCAGAAGTGAAATGCTGACTTCAATAGGCCTCCTCAACATCAAAATCCTCGCCACCAAACTGCTCGAACAACCAAACTGCTCGAACAAACTTTTTTCCTGCGATAACACATATTCAGCGACACTGTTCCCCTGTCAACACTGATCCCCTGTTCTTCCTGATTCCTGAGCTGTGAGTAGTACTTGTTTTATTATCAGAAGTGAAATGCTGACTTCAATAGGCCTCCTTAACCTCAAAATCCTCGCCACCGAACTCCTGCCCAGAAAAACTTTTTTTTGCTGTTCAACAACACATCTTCAGCCTTTCTAAACTTCTCGACGCTCTTCTCCTGGCCTCTGCGAGTCTGTGAGTACTCTTCTCATCGAAAAATGTAAAAATCTGACTTTTACAGGATCGCGTCATCATCATCATTTTCGCCACCGACATCTCGACCAAAAACTTTGTTAATTCTTCAACAACACCACCCCCCGGGTTCTAACTTGTCGACATGTATTCTGCTGGTCTTGGGCTACGCGTGAGTACCATTTTTACTGCATGAAGTGGTCATTCTGACGAGTTAGATGTCATCACCAATCCTGGTACCATCATCACCGATCCTGGTCGCCTTTTCACCCTCTCCTTCGATAAAACTCAGTCCTCAACGCTCTCTCTCTCCTGATCTGGTACCAGAAACCCAGCGACATCGCGACCACGACTATAATGATGAGGAACTCGATGATCTCATGGCAGAGATCAATCTCGACATTCGTGAGGACACAAGATTTGCTCCTGTGGCTCACCACATCCACCCTCTCCTCGATCTTGAACCTCAACCTACCATGGACGCTGCTCGACAACACACTCAGTCCGTTGGCATGGACTCAATGGTCTGCATTGTCACTGAACGAAGTAATAAAGAAAAAGGCAAATTACAACTTCGATGTGCTTTCGGTGGCGAGGGAAGAACCGGCCGTCCTGTCGAATATGAACTGGTTCGAAAAAGAGATCATACCACCAAGCAAAGAGGATGTCCCTTCTCTATCACCTGGCGCAGAGAGCGAAAATCTGCTGCTCGAGAGGCCCACCGTGATCCCCTTTGGTTCCCTCACATCGATAACCACTCTCATAACCATGAACCTGTCCCTCTGCTTCACTTCTCTTTTATTCGACAAGCCAGTCGTTCTCCAGAGGTTCTAGAATACATCAAACAGCTACTAGCCAGTGAACACACTCTTCGAGGGATTGTCACTGCTGTTCAAGCTCGATTCGGTGACAAAGTCTCACTCACATCTCGAGATGTCCTCAATATTCGTTATCGTCATGAAAAAGAAGTTCGCCTTGGTCTTTCAGCAACTGAAGCAGCTGTTCGCCAGCTCACCAACAACAACAATCTTTTTAAAGCGTTCACCAACAGCGAAAAAGAGCTCTGTGGCCTCGTCTTTACCACTCCGTCAGCCAGAGCCATGACTCATTCGTATCCTACCGTTCTCTTCATGGATTGTACTTATCGAACAAACCGTTATCGTCTACCAATGCTTCATATTGCTGGATTTACTGCTACAAATCAAACCTACACCTCTGCAATTGCGTTTTTAAGTCGAGAAGTGACCGAATGGTATTCCCTCGCGATCAAAAGTTACCTTGAACTCATGGGACCGATCAACAACGATATCAAAGTCATCGTGTGTGATCGTGAGACTGCTCTGCATAATGCTCTGGCCCTACACCTACCCCATGTCCACCTTAATTATTGTCGCTGGCATCTTCGAGAGAACATCAAGGTTAACTGTCGAAAAAATTTTCAGAGGGTGTATAAAGAGAATTGGGTGGAGAAGTTATCTGAATTTGGGGACTACTGGTTAAGCAACATAGCGAAAGCAGCTACTGAGATGTCATTGGAAGGGGCTCTGGTCACCATGGCTAGTCAATGGAGTGGAGCAGAGTTTGACTCTGCGAGGGC